TAACATTATACAGAGAAAGAAACTGAGGTTCAGATAGGCTCAGTGATGTGCTCAAGGTCACAGAGATGCAATTTTTACCTAGTATGTCTGAACTGACAAGTCCCTTTCTCTGTTCAACTAAAGCTTTCTCCAAAGTTATATTAGTTGATGGAAAGTAGGTAGGTCAAATAAGTTTTAAAAACACCACAGCAAAGAAAGTTAAATGGGTCTCTTTCCTGCAGGACTTCTCAGAGCCTCTGATATGCTAATGATCACTATGAAACTCCAAGAGGGCATCCATATTAAACAGTATTTACCAAACATATTTGGCCACAGCTGGGCATCTGGCCCTACTGGCGTTCCAAAGAACACACTCTGAGGCCAGCTGCCTGTCCAACCTCCTGAAAACTAACAGCCAGGACTCTGGATTAGATAACCTTGATTTGAATCCTAACTCCTCCACTTACTAGCTGAGTGACCTCAGACAAACTTCTTAACCTTTCTGTGCCTAAGTTTCTTCATTCATAAAACAGGGAGTGAGTGATTCCTTCATTCCACAACTATTTGAGTGCCAACTCTGTGCCAGTAACTGCCCCAAACACTGAGGGCTGTATCAGTGCTACCTCACAGAACGTAACTAAGAGGGAAGTATATTCCTGGGGTTAGTGCACAAAAAGTGTGCTTCTGTGAAGGGCTAAAGTGTAAATATTTTAGGCTCTGTGGGCCACACAGTCTCTGTCACAACAACTCCACTCTGCCATTGTACTGGGGAAAACAGCCATAGACAATACATAAATGAGCAAGTGTGCTGTGTTCTAATAAAACTTTATTCATAGACACTGAAATTTGAATTTCATATTTTCACATCACAAATATTATTCTTTAAAAAAATGTTTCAACCATTTAAAAATGTAAAAACCATTCTCGGCTCCTGGGTTGTACAACAACAGGCATCGGGATGGATTTGGCCCACAGGGGCCCACCTCTGCTGGATTCAACAGAGACACTGCAAGGATTAAATGAGTTGATATATGAGGCATTTGAAATACCAGCAAAACGTGCTTTTCTTTCCACACAAATTTTGCTGTGCCAATGCTGGTCCATGTTGTGTACAACTGGTTTACGGACTCAGACCAAAACGAGGACCTGTCATAGAACAGGGAACATAAAGAAAGGTCACAGAGTGAACTGCATTCCTGCCACCCTCCATTCGTTTCCATGTCTCCATTTCCAGTTCACTCGGCCTCATTTGGGCACATACGCCCGTCAGGGATTCATCGCATCTACAGAAGAGTGGCAAGCCCGGCCAAGTGTTGGCAGGGCCGCATCTGCCCAGCAGCCTACCGAAACGGTCCCCATCTCCTGCCGGCCACCACACATGATTAACAGCACCGGCAGCTGCTGATTGTTCCAAGATGAATGGGAGCTGCTCGCAATTCTCTTATTACCCTATTTGTTTGCTTCCTTCGTCTGCATTGTCATGATGATCTCTGCAAGCAGGAGTCGCTTGGAACTTTATAGTGTAATTTATTAGAGGGTCTTGCCTCTTGGGAATGCCTCAAATTCACACATTTTCCAGATTGTTATAATTCCAGCCAATGAGATAACTCTACTGTAGACTTCTCCAAACGGATACAAATTCTTTAAATGTGAAGAGGCAATGAATACAATTTATAAATCTGCCTTGCTCCCAGACACCGAGCTCTTCTTATTCTGTGGCCACTGTGATGGTTGCATTACTCAGGCTGAAAAAATGATTCTCATCTAGAATTCACTCTCCGTGAGTGTATTTGTGGTTTATCTAGTGGTTTATTGCTCAAACTTCTCTGTGTTAGGAGCTTGTGGCATTTATGCATCAAAGAAAGAATTCCATTCTCAATTAAAAAGAAATATGTGTATATGTGTATGTATACGTATACATATGAATACAAGTATATGTAACCCAACAACTAATGCTTATTAAGCTTCTCCTGTGTGATAACAGCAGGTACTCTGGATCTGTAATTCTCCCGACTCTAAACTTTTCCTTTCTTAATAATAACGGGACAATAAACATCATTTAAAAATCAAACTTTATGTGGCCGGCCCGGTGGCGCACTGCTACAGTGCGCCGCTTGGGAAGCACAGTAGCGCTCCCGCCGAGGGTTCGGATCCCACATACAGACCGGCCGCTCACTGGCTGAGCGAGGGGCGGGAGCAACACCGAGGGTTGCGATCCCGTGGCCGGTCCCGGTCCGGTACGGGCGCAACACTGAGGGTTGCGATCCATTGCCGGTCACGAAAAAAGACAAAAAGGAAAAAAAAAAAATCAAACTTTAATGATGAAAGAAAAGCCATATTCATTGTAACACCATTTGTAGACACAGGAACATCAAGCAGCTGTCAAAAATACCACTGAACTTTATTTACATGTGGTCTTTAACCAACTGCTCCTTCCTCTGGGCCAAATTAAGTAAAACAATCACAAAATAAACCCCTCTTGTTCCTGTGTTATCAGTAAAGCATCAGAATGAAAGTTCAGAAAAAAATTTTTAAAACATGGTAAAACACAACCAATCTCTGGGGCATTGTTCCACGACTCCTTGGAGCAGAGAACAGGGCAGGAGTGCATATGCTGCTTGTCCCTGTTTTAGAAATGAGGAAAAAGAGGTCAGGAAGACTGACCTGCCCAAGGTCACCCCATCACGTGGAGGTGGGAGTCTCGCCCAGCTCTGTCTCCAAAGGTTAGCCTGTTGTTTCCAAGAATCACATCCATTTGGTATTCTGCCCTGTTATTCGAGAGCCTGAGGTTGACAGAACCGGTGCAACAGCCCAGGCAGGTCCTGGTCTGGCCTATCTGGCCTACATAGCAAGACACCTATCCTGGCTGGCAGGCCTCTGGGTCTGGGGTTCAGGGCTGCATTTAAAGCAGCAGCAGTGCTCAACACTGCCCTCCCTAAGAATCATCCAGTCTGGAGCTGTTTTCAACAGGAAACAAAGTTCTTTTAAGAGTTGAGTGTTGAATATTAATTTTCTTGTTTCCTTATTCCTCCAAGCCTCTCAGCCAGTCTTCTCCTTGGATTCCTATGGTTCCACAATTGAAGAGTTGATTAAACACTGTCTTGTAGGGTTCCCCAATGGTTTTGGCTGAGTTTTTGTCCAGGGCAGGAATGGCAAATGGGTTTTAGCTCAGGGGAACATGTGCTATCAATAGCTGTGTTGATGCTGAGTCTGGATTCAGCTGCAAAAGAGGACTATGACTGACTAGTGATGCCAGGTGCAAGCTCAAGGTGGGACCATTACAGGTGTCACTCACTTGCCAGGTCTACATCAAAAGCACTTGCAGAAGTGGGCCACTTTTAGTCTGTGCTATCCCCTCCACATATCCATCCCTGTTGTTTTTTTAGCACAGCACTGGATGCATAACTGGGAATATATAAATGCTTAGTGACTGGATACCTTATAGGGAGCCCCCACCCCAGCCTTGTGGTTCATGCCTGGAGAGAAGCACTATCAGGCAGAGCATTACAGGTGCAGATATACTTTCACTCCAGTGACTTCCCACCCCCCAGCCCCTCCCCATGTTTTCAGACATGTCCTATGACTCTTTCTAGAAATATCAGAGGCTTTCCAAAAGCCAGGACAGTCAGGTCAGTCTCAGGCTTCTTTCAGTGATTAACAAACAGGACCTTGCATGAGTTTTGATCCTAACACAAGGATGGCTCTAATCCATTCCTTGCTATGATTTTAGGGGTTAGGAGTGGTTCTTCCAAATTGCTGGGAGGTCAGAAGAGACAGAGACCAAGGGTCTCCCTGACATCCCTCCCGTTCTCACTGCCCCAAGAAGAGGCTAGCTGGTTTCCATTTCCATGCCATGTGACTGTGAAAGCAGATGAGCACTTTCTGGCTTAAGACATCATTCTCTTCTTGATCAAGGCTAAGTCAGCAGGAGCCTCTTACCACTACGTTGTTACACCCTAGCTTTTGCATTCCTTAATACGGAGTCTGGATGCTTGATGTCCACACTAGAATTCAGCTGAAGGCAAATCAGAAGTCTTTTATTTTACCTCCCTTCCTGTCTGGAAAGAATCTATACTCTTCCTAAAAGACATCCTTGTGCTTCCACTGTAAATGCCAAGCACTTGCTGCTCCTATCCTCCCAGAAAGGGTGGTGGTACCAGTGCCACCAGAAGCAAGGACCCTCACGAAGGACTCCTCAGATACCAAAGAAAGCAGAGAAGAGCAGAGGCTACAGCAGATTGCCACCCGTATCCAAAATGGCCTGTGGGAAACAGACATGCCACCTAATCCCTGCCCTTCAATCCTTCCAGATCCAAGACTTCAGAAGAGCCAAGCTTGGGACATGACACGGTACTGGAAAATGAAGACGAAGAAGAATGTAGTATTCTTTTATAAAGACAAACCCATTTTCAAATATCACGGTCCTGCATTACTTACACTCTCTTCCTTTCAGTTCTAACTTGAGGGCAGACCCAGGACAGAAGCAATTGGGGATGGATCTTGAAATGCTGTAAGTGGTTTCATAATCCTTTGGAAGGTTAAAGTGACTGGTGTGGCCTCAGCAGCAGGTAGGAGTCTTCCTAGCATGGGGCAGTAAGCCAGCTTTGCTTGTGTGGCTTTAAGGTTTGACATCATTCTTCGTTAACACCCGAGTCATGGTTGACCTATCTGCAGTTGGCCAGAAACAGGGTTGTTTTTTGAGAATTTCGTCAAAAACACTGCATTAGCCATTTTTAGCCATCATCTTTACTTCCTTTAAATCATTGCAACTTATCTCAAAGGATGCACTTACACCGGTTCATTTTCTTCCAAATGCTTGCAATTCTTTTGCTCAGTTACATCTTCTGCTGCATCTCTGAGGCAAGTACTAAGACACCCAAGGCAACTTCAGCTTCTGATAAACAACTCAAGTTCTAAAAAATGAAATGAGCTTCCTATTCACATTGGAAATATTCCACAAGTTAATCTGGGTAAAAAAGTAACTATTTTTCTAAGGGCTAAAATCTACACACACAAAAAGATTTCCAACGTAAATTTTACTATTTTATTTGTGAAAAAACTACAAGCAGGATTCATAAATAGACATTTCTATTTAAAGCAGGAAAATGATAAAGTGGCTTCTAATAACATAGTCGTGCACATGCCAGTAACAGGAATATATTAACATCTTTTATTTGCTAGACAAAGAGCAGTGTCCAATATAAATTTCCCCAAAACATTTAAGACCTGTGAATTTCTGACCAGTTCACAAAACCACCAACTGACACTTTAGCATGAAGGAAAAAACAAACCTAACAGACTGTCAGCTCTAAAGACATTACAGAGCAGAAACTTCCAAAAGCGTTATACAAGCTGTCTTTCTGGGCAAATGAAAAATATAGCTCGTATAATACATTAACAAAAATTCACAAGATAAGATTATGTTTTGACATACTTAACAAGCATTCTCTATTTGTCTCCAACAAACAAAGCTAAGGAAATAATGTAACCATCTTTACACAGTAAATTAAGGTTACAAGTCATACACAAGAACAGAACTGCTTGCGCATTAAAAACTGTTCAGCTCCATTGTCATACTCTAAATGTTGGCTCTTAAACCATTTTTCGGGTACATACAAGCAAAGGTTATTATATATTCAGCAATTAATAAATTTTCAATAATTTAAGATACGGTAGCTTAAAAAGTAGACTGAGAATGGTCTTGGTAAGGCAGGAGAAACATCTTAGTGGAACTAAACTCACAGAAGCTTCTGCCAATGTTTTTAAATATCCAGATTGAAACCGAAAAGTTTTGATTAAAATATTTTGTGGGTGTCAAGATGTCTTCACCTTTTTTTTTTTTTTAAACTGCATGACAAGCAGAGCAAGTCAGGTAAGCTCTGTGTGTGCGTGCACACGCACAAGTGTGAAAGATTGTGTAAAACAAATGGAAACTTGCAAGCATAACACTGTGCTTTTGTTTGTTTTGTTTTAACCTGCTTTCTGTGCCTCTGAATACCAAGTATTTCTGGTCTTCTCAATATATATCTTTATAATCTACACTAGTGTTTTACACATCGCCTACTAATTGTAGGGCAAACTGTGAATGCAGAAGTTACAGGAATTCCATTTCCAGATACATGCCTGAGGGATGTCATCAACTTCAGAAATTAAAAGTCTAAAGTACCTACCACACAATCTCACTACCCCAACAGAATATACAACAGCAGCTAAAGGGCTGACCCTATAACAATCTCATTCTTAGATAACTCCTGCTGTTAGCTGCAGTTTCTACCAAAACAGCAATTTAATCCCACCTGTTCCAAAGCAATCCTCCCCCTCCTTCACCCCTCCCCATTCTTTAATTTATCACGGAGGCAAAACTGAAAAACCAAGACATTGGCAATGAATTAATTAGCAGCCTATGAGTAGCTGGTTAATCAGCTTTTTCCACTAATCTAGGGGATCCAATCACTTTACATGAAACTAATTTTGAAAAAGTACACAGTGTTTCTGAACAAAGTGCATACCAACACTTATTGGTTCAAAGAGCAGTGCAACCCACATGAGTTTGGTGGCATTTAAATTTCTTTTTAAAAAGTTAATTTAAAAACTTAGCAATTTCTTACACCTCTGGAAAATAAATATGGCTGACTAATTTACCCTCCCTGAGACCCTTAGTAATAAGGAATATTAAAACCTTTTAGTTTTTAGAAGGAATGTCTTTGCAATATCCCACTAATATTAAAATGTGGGTTTAAAATTCATAGTCAAATTACTATGTATTATATATTGATACTTATAGAAAGCATCTGATTTCCTTTGGTTCATTAATAAATACTTTAAAAATGTATTTAAAAAGATAAGCATAGCTTGCATCCCAGATACAAGCATTATTTTACAAAGAGGGGAACATTGTCCATGCACTTGAGAATAGGACCACAACAACAAATGGCACTGCTTTATAATCTATATCTTTGAAAACAGAATTTAAATTATGACGCGTTAGTGACTACAGAATAGTTTTAATGTAAATGTGAAAGGAACCTTTCCTGTTGGCTACTCAATTCAAGCTGTTAATTTTTTTTTTTTTACTCGTTGCCTCCACAGACAGAAATTACTTCTATAATTAAGAATACCAGGTTTTTAACACCAAAACATGGTGCTTCGTTACAAATTGGCTGCCCTCCCATGAGTCCCTAAGGTATGTCAAATAAATGAAGGTAAACATCAAGTCCTCATGCTTGAAATGACTTTAAAGTACTATAAACTCTGTGGATATAAAGGTAAAGGTCAAAAAGAAAACAGACCCCAAATCCAAACAAAATCAAAGCAAAACCAGAAAAAGAAAACCCATCTTTCTTAAAAATGACAATGGGTAGAATCTTATTAATGGTCTTTGATTTTTTGCGAGACAGTATTAAAAAAAAAAAGAAAAGAAAAGAAACTTTAAGAGAATTTACTCAAACTATATGTTAAGGAAGAAAAAGATCACGTGCTGCTCGCAGTTAAGTATGAGCTCTCCCTGCAACTCTACCTGTTAGGGCTCAAGCCATTCACACTTGAGTTCCTTCCCACAGCAGGGAATTGAGAAATGTCTCCCAACAGTGAAAAGCTCCGTGTTGGGATTGGATGTGTGGCTGATAACCTTTGTTCAGTAAAATAAGTCATCGTAGGCTTTAAGAAAGAAAAAGAATTCTCACAACTGAACTGCTAAGGTAAGGGGTTTATGAGACAAGGTGACATGAGGCAAACAAATTTTTTACAAAAACCATCACTGCAATGTCACATAGAAAGAAAGTGGAAACAAGGAATTGCTTCCTGTATGGACCAAAAATACAGTTTAGAATGTTTCAATCCTAAAACTAAGAGACAATTTCTAGATTTACCTCAGACATGAGTAGAGGTCTGGAAAATGGATGGAATTCGAGTTACAGAATACCATATTTTCATGAATGCTTATGTAAGAACAGCAATGATAACATGTAACCATAATTTACACGAATACTTGGCATTCTGGAGCTGTTACTTATGAATGATCCAAGCCCTCCCCAACTAAACCACCTGTGATTTGTCAGTTATTCCATTGCAAAATGCAGGCTACTGGAGCAGTCTTTAAACTTGAGATCACATTGTTTAAAAAATATATATTTTTATAACATCCAGTATTCTTTAGACAGATGAGAGAGTCAAGTTCCCATGAGAGCTGGAACATACTTCATGTAAGACTGATTTTAATCAATTTCAGCACTTTCATAGAAGGGACTGTTCCAGATCTGTAACTGTTCAATGTTGTATTCACTTCACAGTGTATCAAGCACCAGCGTTGCCATGGATTGGTTTCAAATAACCCTTTATATATAATTTTATATTTATATATATATAGTTATATCAAAATTGATAGTACATAGTATAACTGGAAGAAAGAACTAAACTTAAAAGGATATGCTGAAAGGATGGAGTTTGTGAACACAATAAATAAAAATTCCCTCCCCCTCCCAACTCTCCCCCCCCAAAAAAACCAAAAAACAAGTTGCAATGTACATGGAAAATTGTGCACAGCAGATTTTTTTTTTTTTTTTTTTTATAAAAAGTAGATTCAGGAGCACATCCAATTATAAATGATTGTTAGGAAAATCATATAAAACAATGGAATACATAAAAGTGTCAAGAGTAATCGTCAGGGTGCGAAATTCCTTGGTGGCCAGATGCCCATGGCAAGCAGAAATCATCCTGGCAGCATCACTAAGAGGTCGATGTCCACAGAAGATTCTCCAGGGGTGCAAGCAGCATGGGCAGGTGGAGGATTTGAATTTCATACCCTGATTCATAGTTTTCACAATTCCATGTGCAATTTCAGAAAGATTCATCATTTACTGCTGACATGTCGCCCTTTGGCGTGGAGGAACGGGAGGAGCCCTTGTCTGTGCTCTCTGACCCCGAGCTGCTCTGGTTCTGCTGTTCTGACCCTGCACTGGAGGTCACTGTGGATGAGGATGTTGAGGAGGAGCGAGTCTTTTCCTTAAAGTCTGTGATAATGACAGTGACGTTGCCCACAGTTACTGCCAACTGCTGTGCGGTGCTCCTGTCCACGTTTTTCAGCCGGGGCCTGAAAGCAATACCATGAGGGAACAGCCAATTAAAGAAGCTATGGATTAAAACAGCATCTGGCAGAAAGTCGCCAATACAAAGACTTCATGACACTGTGGCAATGAATCTAAACTGCCTACCACACATATCAAAACTGACTAAACAAAGTTTGCTGATCGACATTAGCAATAATGGAAATGACCATCAGCTAGCAAAGCTCTGCACCACTGCAAAATTACTATTAGTTTATCTTTTTCCTGTTCGGCCACAGTATTTAAGCATCAAAAAAAAAAAAAAAAAAAAAGGCAAACACCCCCACATCTAGTTCTTCACCCCGTCGTCTTAGCCTATAAACTCACAGGCACAAAACTACCCTAGGTTCTTGATCGTGAGTAAATAAATCAGAGCAGCAAATTTAGTATTTCATTCTAGTTTCAAAGTACCTTGAGGTGTGATTCGTTTCGCTGGTCTTTGTGGTGGCATTCGCAGACTGTATACTGTTCGCTTCGCTAGGAGGATCTTTCAGAATATCAGACTTTGGTCTAAAAGTAGGGGATACAAACAAGAGGCATTCAAAAGATAGCTCTGATTCACCTGCAGATCAATATAATGTGCTTACCCAGCAACTTACTTTGTTTTCTTGTTGGTATTTTTCTTGGTGACACTAGGACTAATTTCCTTATCTTTCTCAGGCTTCTCTTTGTCTTGCTTTTCCACTTTTTCTTTCTTCTCCTTTTTCGGGGGTGGGGGAGTGGCGTACTGTTGTGCCACTTGCTGTGCCACCAGCTGAGAATTGATCCGAGGTTTTCTAAAACGTCCAAGAAAAGATATATCATTATTTGCTCTATACATTTTAAAAAATTTTTATTTGGTGTCATAATTTCTTAGGTGTTTTAATATTGGTGTCTGGCAACTCTAAATTACATGGTAGGTGTTATTTGTACATTATTTCGATTTAGTATGGGTAAGTCCATAAAACTTTTCCTTTTTCAAAGGAAATGATATATTCCCGTGTGCTCACACAGACACACACATCCTGTGCAGTAAAATGGTCTTTCAGCCAACAGAACATGACAGTATTTGTAAGAGTGCTGAGAACACTACTACTTTTGAGCTGTCAAGATTATACTGACTGACAGCTTTCAAATACTCCTGGCTACGGGGGGTTAATCTCATTTTATTAAATGGACACCAGTAATCCCTTGAAAAGAGAATGAAATTAGAAGTGTGACATTCGTGCCTCAATCTAATTGTTCCGACTTGTTCTGCTCCCCTGCAACTCTGTGATTGGCACAGACAGCACATATAGAGCAATAAAAGGTAACTGTGGTTCATACTAGCTCCCAAAGGGATGAAGACTGAAAGTCACTATTTTAAAAAATCTTAGACAAGTGATACATTCATTGTGCCATCAACCATTATGTCTGTCCCAATCTCCAACTGACACTGACTCTTAGCTCTATTGTTTACAAATTTTAAGGGGTGCCAGTAAACAAACACTTCTCAGAATGCAGGACCATTCACAAACCCAGGACCATTCACAAACCCAAGTGAGAAAGGGAAAAAAGGAATGCCTGTGCGCTATTTCCATGTAACAATTTTCAAAGACATTCCCATCTAGACAGACACTTAATAATATAAATTCTCCAAGTACAAGATAGAAAACAAATATTCAAATGAGTCATTAACAAGGTGAAGCAACTGGCTGCCACAATGTAAATAAAGGTCTCTTTCAGATCCTACAGCTCCCTTTCCATTCTCCAGGATGAAGGAACTGACCAGAGAAAAATAACTGGACAGACTAAGTCTGGCTCATCAACGGGACAGTCAGTGGAGGATTGGAAAAAAAAAAAAAAAAACAAATCCAGGAAATACAAAACAAACAAAGCTGCCTTTTTACATACTTCTGCTATTCTTCACCAGGAGACAAACAGAGACAGCTAGTTGCCAGGAGCAACTCTAGGACATCTTACAAAGTTTTATGATGTCACTGACCATGCTAGCTGCCAATCAACTGTGTACTCCTCGGTGGCAAAGAATACATCTCACTCATCTTTGTCACCATGGCACTCAGCAGTGCCAGGTAGTCAGTACAATTATCTACTGGATGAATAAACCAACAGTACAGAGAAAGAAAATAAAATGCAGACTGAGAAGAGGACCCCAAGTTTTGGTGACAAAAGGGCCGCTGGTGATATTTAGGAGAGCAGGGCACAAGGGATCAGGGGCTGCAAAGATTAAGGGACTGAAGGCTGCTGGAGGAACAGCACACAGGCGTCAACAGACTCCGCTTTGAGATCTGTGGTGCTTTAGTAAGGGGAGGCTCTGGCCATTACCCGAAGGAGTAAGCAGGCTCTGGGAGGATTTCTATAGGACAGGGGGTCTTGCATCATGCTGCACATTGGAAGAAAGAGAAACACTGAGGGCAGGCAGGAGAGAGGGATTAGCTCACAGGGAAAAGAGAGAGAATACGATCAAAAGTCTTAGGGAAAGGAATGAGGACACTTTCTACAGAGACATGAGAGGGATGCTAGGTAAAGATAAAGCGACATTTTTACTAGAAAGATGATAACCTGAAGAGAGCTCTCTCTTTGGGCCTCTCCCTTTCCAGGGGAAGTAGGTGATAAGACAGAGCTAGGGTGGGGGTGCTTGTGGGCAGAATATGGAAATGAGAAATCAGAGTGGAGATTTAAAAACTGTGATTAGGGGCCGGCCCGGTGGCGCACTGCTACAGTGCACCGGTTGGGAAGCGTGGCGGCGCTCCCGCCGAGGGTTCGGATCCCACGTACAGACTGGTTCCCGCTCACTGGCTGAGCGAGGTGCAGGGAGCAACACGGAGGGTTGCGATCCCGTTGCCGGTCCCGGGCCGGTACGGGTGCGACACTGAGGGTTGCAATCCGTTGCCGGTCATGAAAAAAGACAAAAAGGAAAAAAAAAAAAACTGTGATTAGAAGTGGCACCTGGGTTGGTGAACAGCAGGCACTAACAGTACAGTAGAAAAGAGAGCTGGTGATGAGCAAAGAGAGAGAAGGGATTTACTCACAAATTATCCTAAATGGCATAAGTATGGTATGCCAAAAAGCAGCCGCTCTCAGCTACCCAGAGATCCAGCTTATCCCGAGTGTGTTATTCCCTAATGAGGCCAGCTTGCCAAGGCTCTGGGCATACTGTAGACAGCAGGTAAGGTGCCTGTCTGAATGCTGCTGCCACTGTAATCACGCAACACTTTAGCAAATACACTCTCAATTCTTCAGTGCATGCAACACAATCCAATACCTACAGGACAAAATCTATCACACAAAAGGCAAACTTCAGGCATAACTCCTTCAATAGGCAGCAAATGAGCACAGCTGTGTGCATTTCTCACTTGCTTCTAAGAAAACGTTTGAGTAGAATGGTGAAGTAAGGGTTCTCTCTTTGCTGGTCAACAAGCCAAAGTTTCACAAATGAAAAGCACCCAAGGCTAATTGGGATCTGATTATTACCAAGAAAAATGGGGCATCTGCTAAAACCAACGCCTGTGTTGTCTGAAAAGTACTGATGTGTTCTAAATGTCATACATATATCTCTAAATGACAACCTAACTTTTAAGCCACCACTCACCCCTTCCCCACCAAAACCCCTCAACAACAGGTAAGCGCTCATCCATATAACTGCTTTTGCAAACTAGGTTCTCCCAATAAGTGCCACTGTATTCTAGGTCAGGGAGCAGGGTATGAAGCAGGGAAATTCACCTATTGGAAGGGGAAGGTAAAGAGAAGAAAAAGGGCCACCAGTGAGAGCCCTCCCAAGTAGAGGGGCCATCCTGTCAGAACTGTTCTGGCAGCTCTTGCCATCTGCCCCCCTCTTTACTTCCAGGCTAATACTCTCCTGGCTGCATGTGGAAAAACGGGAATGTGCCATCTCTGCTGGGAGAGCTATGCACTTTCCCATGAGGCCACACTGGGTTCCAGACTTGATATTACAAACTGTGCCTGAAGCGGGAGAGGAAGAGCCATTTCACAGCCATCGTAGGATAGGCACAGTATGAAGCCAGATTTAGCACAACAATCCCTAGAGGAAGACTGTCATCTCTTTTACAAATTACGAAGACTGAAGAGCAGAAAGATTAAGAAACTCATCCGAAGTTCACAGTTAAGTGCCTGAGCTGGGATTTGAACCTGGCTCCCTGTGAACTCTCTATGGACCCCTTCCTATGAAGGTATCCTCAAGCTAGTGTTCCTGCCTTTGAAGAGCCCAGCCTTGTCTTCGTGTGTATATAAAAGTGGGGGAGGGGGAGAGGACAATGTGACTTGGGCATAGGGAACTAAGGATGGAAAACCCTGGTTCACCCAAGTTCCGGTTTAGCTAGACACCTCTCCGAGAATCCCAATGCCCTCATTAGTCTCTACGTCTCACTCTGGCAAGAAGGGCACTACCTGGTTATCCTTAAGGAAAGAGAAAAGGGCAGAGGGAGCTGGCTAGATTGTTTTCCTTGCTTTCCACTGCCTTTGGACTATTCTCTGTAAGGAATGAACCCATACTATTAAACACCGCAGATCAATGAGAAACAGTGACTTGCCACAAATTCACATGGCTTAATGAAGTCTTCTAAGTGTCACACAATGCATTGCAAATGGCTCTTGTTTAACGGGCAGAACTTTCAACAAGTAGAGTCCATTCTTCAATACAGAGCTAGCTGACAGCCTGTCTCCAAGATTTGCCAAGTTTCCCAACTAATAAACCTTTAAAAAGCAACTAACAGTCTTCACAATACAGTGTAAAATATCTGATCAAAACACATGGCCTATAGCTTTTCGTGTCTAGACCTCAAATTAAAACCAATCAAGTAATGACAACCAAAAAATCCTACAAAACGAAAAAACTACTTCAGAGATACAATATAGTAAACAGAGAATCAGTTTCTCTCATAAGTTTGGCACCAAACAAGTTTCTAGTATCTTCTTCAAGACAATAATTTCTGGGCCGGCCTGGTGGCGCACTGCTACAGTGCGCCGCTTGGGAGTGTGGCGGCGCTCCCGTCAAGGGTTCAGATCCCACATACAGACCAGTTCCCGTTCACTGGCTGAGCGAGGTGCAGGTGCGACACCAAGGGTTGCGATCCCGTTGCCGGTCCCGGTCCGGTACGGGTGCGACACTGAGGGTTGCGATCCGTTGCCGGACACGAAAAAGGACAAAAAGGAAAAAAAAAAAAAAAAGACAATAATTTCTTATGGGGAAAAAATCTTCTTGAAATACATTATTTTATAGGTTTATTGTTGTTATTTCAATAGTTTACAAATGAAAATGTGCTATGAAATTTCAATACATAGACATCAAGAAAACATTTCTATTTATTTGCATTTAGATGGCTAATATTTCAGAAAAGAGTCCATTTCATAAAAAATAAAGGAAAATTTTTGAAAAGGAAAAATTTCAGAGTTTGAGCACATGTGAACACAAATGAGAACACAAGATACTGTTCTGGATGGCTTTGATACATGTACTCATACCACTCCTGGGGAACACAGGCAAAACTGGTTTTGTTTGTTTTGGGGTTTTTTTTTAAAGAGGAATTTCCCCCACATACTCCTCTTCTGTTCCTTTTCCTCTTATGTTCTCATGGAAACCTGAGATCTTACTGCTCATTTCTCAAGTACTTCTGTATATCTCAGCAACCATAACAAGCAATGAGACAAAGCCATCTTCTTGTGGTTCAGGCAACAAAGAGCATGAAGAATCTCTAACAAATTGTATTTTTCCTTGACTGTGTTTTGCCTGCTTTTGGAATTCCACCTGGTGTTTCACCTTTCAACTAAAATACCCCAA